TTTGGGTCCCAGGTTTCCACGTGGCATTTGGAACCATGTGGAGTTTAAGACAGAGGGCAGTATTTACAAAGATAATGTCTAAACGATATTGTTTCTTCCAGCATGACCAGGAGGCAGAGCTGAGAAAACAAGGAGATATATTGACCTAGAGACAAATTTAGGTAAAAGGTTTAAATCAGATTTTGAAAGTATATTTATCAAAACTTTAGAAAATTTAAGTCACGTGAACTTATTTATTTGGTACCTTGCCGATGACACAATTACACATACAGACACGAACATATAGACATGACATACAGCTTACACATGCATATATGCAGACATAAACAACAAGAACAAACAAGGATCTTAAAGGTTTTGTTCAAGATGTAAAAAAAGCTTACTAGTAAAAAGGACAGTCAGGTTTAGATTGTGTTGTTTTAAAAAGACTTATTGGTGAGGTCTCACCCTGCCTTAAAGAAAACAAGATAACAAATTTACATTGTAAAGGAAAGTATGCAAACCTTTTCAAGAAGATGCAAAGATTTTCTTCCTTTTAAGAAAATAGCATAGAATTCTACCATAGGATTTTGTGAAGAAATACACAGATGAGACTAGAAGAGAATTTAGAAGTCTGTTTAAGATAACCAGCTGGATTCCAGAAAATTTTAGACCATCTAGTTAAACAGGTAGATTTTAGGTTAGTTTTTGTTTTTCAAATGAGTTACTGAACTTAAGGGCTGAGCTATTAAAAGGTATTTGACTGTTAAAGTTTCTTAATTTACCCCAGGTCAATTTGGAGCTTGTTGTCATTATTTTCATCACTGGTGGTCTGATGTGTACCGTCCCCGGTGAGATGGATTGAGGTGTGATGGTGAGGCATTGAGATTTGGGGATCAGATTCAATTCCTCGTCTGGTTTGGGGTTCCACATAAGGTTTAACAGCCTTAGCAGGAATCCATAGCGGGCCTGTGGGTGAGAGAACAGATGCATCCTCTCTCCCCCATGTTAACAATTCGGTAGGTCTCAACCATTGTGGTCCCGTTGGCAGGTGGCGGAATAAAACCAAGGGTCTAGGTCTCTTTTTAGGAGGTATAAAGTGTTGTTCTGTGGCTGTTAATTTTTGGGAATTACAGTTTTAAAAATTTAGTGTAAACAGAGCTTTAAAGACCTGTTCATGAGAAGCCAGTCCTATATCTATACAAGGCAGAGGTTAATGATTAATGGGCCCCAAGTTTATTAACTTAGGGGCTGCGTAGACAAAATCCAAACAGGGGGCCAATAAGGGCTGTGGCATCACTAAACAACATCTGGCTGATTTGTATTGGGTAATATTGACTAGATGTCACTTTTCATATCTTGTTTGAATTGCTTGTGAGGTTTCAAGGAAAATATGCAGGATCATGCAAAAACTGATTCATCTAAATAAGTTGAAACGTGATTGACACAGTCATAGTTACACTTTTCAAAATGTGTTTTAAAATTCATTGATCATCAGATCTTCAAGCTGGTTTTACTTTCCCCGTTGACAAGGAGGAAGCCTCAAAGAGGTGAAGCAGCTGCCCAAGTTCATTGAGCAAATTAGAAAAATGAATAAAACTGAGACCAGCACCTGGGACCACCTGCTACCCACCCTTCTGGGACAGTCACCTTCCCACATGACAGCTAAAGAGGACTGGGCACTCCACGAAGATTCCCTGATAGCACGGGCTGGAAAGAGGCTGCGGCAGTTGCAAAGAGCAGAAACCAGCTGTGGCTGCCTTGAGCAGAAAAGGATTTTTCTCCTCAAGGATTTTGGGTAGCTCCCCGATGGCCTGGAGGGCTTGGGAACGGGCTCGGTGACTCTGCCAGAAGAGCCACACACCAAACCCCACGCAGAATTGGTGCTGTGAGGACCCAGCGCTGCTGACTCTGAGCTCCAGACGCTGCACCCCTCACTCTGGCCCCTGGACCTCCCCCATGGTCAGTGCTGCAGCCATCAGGTGCTTCTCCATGTCACTGGCCACAGATTCAAAGTCTGGACA